TATTTCTGGAGACACAAGAGTTGGAAGGCTGAAAATTTCAGAGGATGTTTCCTGTCTAAACGGGGGTTTCACAGACTCGAGTTCAGTTCCTAAATATGCCGAGCTTTCACGTATGAACAAGTAAAAATTTTTTCGCAAAAATCGCTCGAAAGCCAAAAAATTAGAAGACTGAAATTATGGAAGGATATTCACTCCTCGAGGTTTCAAATTCAGCTTTCGTGATATTCAGTGCATGAAATTTTTAATGGGAAATTCCGCGGTTTGGAAAACAGACAACATTTCAACTATTTTTACACAGACCAAAGTGCGAAGCAGTGTTTAGTAGGCAGTCGTTCGGTGGACGAAGTTGCACGAAACGCATGATCACACCGGCTGCTCTGGTGCGCGCCACTATTTATTTTCTTTCTTAGCTCCAAACTCAGCTCGTTGTTCACCTTTATTGTTTGTCCCAAATAGGTACAGGTTTTCTCAGGCTCAGCGAACCGGCAAAGCGGTAGGAGACAAAGTGAGGACTGTTCATTGTGACAGCTGACGAAAATTAATCATAAAAATTTTTGTGAAGTTTTTTTACACATTTTTGATTAGTCCCCTGCAGCCTGGCAGATTTAATTGTTTCAAGCAATTAAAAGATTTTAACGCGTCTACTGTACTGTTTGGTTGAGAATTGTAGTGTGGAATTTTTACAGCACCAGTAAACCGAATGTTTTATTTGGCGCTGCCGCCTGATGTTTTTGAAGATGTTACTCTTCAGATCAGCAAGAACTGCATGGACAAGGGGTGGGTGAATTTTTTTTTTTTTGCTTTTCAGCCTGAATAAATTAGGCTCAACTAACGGGAAGTCTTTAATAATTTATGATATTTCTTTGCGAATTTTTGTTTTTCAAGATTGCCAAGCACTCTTAAACTGTCATTGTGAAGTATGAATGCTACTTATCCATCTATAGTGCTTCACATTCTTGTTTCAAGTTCAGTTTCTGTAAATCTTGTTGATCAACTTGGTAATTTTCAGTGGTTCATGGACGCGTATTATCATTGAGAAGCCATTTGGCCACGATTCCGAATCGTCGGCGAAGCTATCTGCACATTTGGAGCAGCTCTTTCGGGAAGATCAAATTTATCGCATTGACCATTATCTTGGCAAAGAAATGGTCCAGAATCTCATGATTCTCAGGTTAGGAATTCTTGTGCACTGGATTTTTTTTTTCGTGAAATTGTGCTGTGTTTCCATATCTCAGACTGAAAGCATTATCCTTAATTTCGTAGTGGGGTTTTATAGGGAAACTCCGACTAAGGAATGCTATTTACAAGTAAGGCCGATCTGTAATCAGCAGTCAGCCATGTTCGGAATGTTGAGTTGCGATTTGTTGATGTATGGTGTTTTGTTTGTTTTAATAAGTGGGTTGAAAACAACCGCAGTTTTTAAGACTCTTAGTGCTTTTTAGGTTCGGTAACAGGATTTTTAACCCTTCGTGGAATCGTGACAATATTGCTGCGATTGTGATTACGTTCAAAGAAAATTTTGGAACACAGGGTCGCGCTGGTTATTTTGATAAGAGCGGCATCATACGGTGAATGTTTTATACCTTGCGTGCGATCGCAGGCTAATAAAGTCAGTCCGTTGCAGGCGATGCTTTGTGTCATGGTCGGACTGGTAGTATCATAAGTGATCAACTAAAATGCAATACATTTGAACGGACCTTACTGGTATCGTGAAAATCTTGTCTGATTAGTCCGGTTAAACAAATTGTTAACATTGTAAAAATAATTAGAATGGGACTGAATGGGAAATAGTGCGTGAGGAAAAGACGTTTGCGTCGACTGCCAGCTGACATGGAAAGAAGTTTCACCTCGAAACGACATGTGTCTCGGAAGTTTTGCGTGAAACTGGCAACAGTTAAGAAGTGCAAGCTGCGTTAGGCAGTGTAGATATAAGCTCTTCAGTTAGTGCTTGGAGCACAAGAGCGGTAATATAATGATAACATCTCACGATTTGAAGGGATCCAGAAATGATGAAAATGAGTGGTTCTATTCCAACCCGATCCATACTCATTTGCAGAAAGGAATTCGGTCTAAAGCAATACACATTCTCGAATAAAATGAAGGAGAAGCAGCGTTATCTTCGAAAAAATATGCTTAAATTGGATGAATAGTAGGGCGTTGTTGCTGTGAATTTGGCTAAATACCTGTTTCAAGCGCAGTATATTACATTGACTAAATACGGCAAATTTTTGCAATAACACAGCACTGTTTTGTTTTAGTGATGTTATGCAGAATCATTTGATGCAAATTCTGACGCTGGTTGCGATGGAGAAACCCGCCAGCTTAAACGCTGAGGATATACGCGATGAAAAGGTAGGTAGTAAAAAGGATGAAAAGCGCTTTTATCGGACTACCTGTGCATTCGAAAGCTTTGCTGATTGCGTATCCTGACTGACAGTTACCGATGCTGCATTTCTGTGTGCGCCTGCCGTTCATTTCCCCGTGACTGAGTAGTTAGCATACTTTTCTTTTCGCAGCGGTTCATGCCGGTGGCACATCTTACATCATAGGGCCCGTGAATTCCACGAGGAATCGTGTTCTTGACGGCGTGCTACTGTAAAAATTTTCTCCGACTGCTAAAATTATGAGTAACACAGTAGGCGAAAATTTTTATGCTGCCATAGGAATATAATGAGCGCTTTTCGCTATGGGTACAAA